CCTAAATTGTTTGGCCTTTTTTTTTATCCATTCACAGGAAGAGGACATTGCTGACTAGGCCAGCATTTACTGCCCATCCCTAACTGCCCATAGGGCATTTAAGAATAAACCACATTGCTGTGGGTCTGGAGTCACAGGTAAGCCAGACCAGATAAGGATCAGTTTCCTTCCCTAAAGGACATTAGCGAACCAGGTTTTTCCTGACAATCAACAATGGATTCAGGGTCATCATTAGACTCTTTAATTCCATATTTATTGAATTCAGTTGCCACCATCTGCTGTGGCAGGATTCAAACTCAGGTCGCCAGAATATTACCTCGGTCTCTGGATTAAAGTCCAGTAATAATACCACAAGACTGATGTGAACTCTTAATACCTACCCTTTCTTCATATGATAGTTCCTTCATCTCAAGAACTAGTCAAGCGAACCTTCTTTGAAATGCTTCTAAAGCAATTTTCTAAAGTCGGATCAAAGCTGTACACAGTGGTCCAGAAGCTGATTCACAAATGCCCTCTCTGAGCTGCAGTGAAACTTCCCTACATTTACATTCATTCCCCTTGACAAAAAGTAAAAATTATATATAAACATAAGTGAAGCATCACAACGTAGTGTTCAAATGGGAGTCATGGCTATGATGTCTCGATTAAGACCCGATTATGGTAACAAGAAAAGATCAGACAAGAAAGCAGTGCAACGCCTATATTGTAACTTGCATCCTTAACACTTCTGTGTTGACTCCAAACCTGGCAAAGCTTCAATGTTAAAATGTTACAATTCCCTCAAGGCCTCACCTCTTCTTTGTGTGATCTGCTCCAGCCGTATAACCGAACCTATTTCCTCCAATTTCAGCCTCTTGCGCATCCTGATTTGGCACAGAACAAGCATGGGGAATGTGTGTGGGATGAAGGGTGAGAGCCGAAGGGCTGCTATTTTTTTGTTTTAATCATAATTTCAACACAGTGCTAACATACCAAGGCAGGCCTTCCATGCAGCCTGCCCCTGCACCAGGCATCCTCTGAACTCAGAACATAGACCAGTACAGGAACGGGCGCTTCAGCCGACAATGCTGTGCCGAACATGATGCCAAATTAAAATAATCCCTTCTGCCTGCCCTTGGTCCATATCCCTCTATTCTTTGCATATTCATGTGCTTATCTAAAAGTCCCTTAAACGCCCCTAACACATCTGCCTCCACCACTATTCTTGGAGGTGTGTGCCAGACATCTATCACTCTCTGTGTAAAAAACTTGCCCCTCACATCTCCTTTGAACTTTCCCCCCCTCACCTTAAATGCATGTCCCCTTGTATTAGACATTTCAACTCCGGGAAAAAGATTCTGACCGTTAACCCTATTTATGCTTCTCATAATTTTATAGACTTCTATCAAGTCTCCCCTCAGCCTCCACCGCTCCAGAGAAAACAACCTAAGTTTTTCTACACACACGCACAACAAAAAGAGAAGTTGCTGGAAAAGCTCAGCAGGTCTGGCAGATCTATGAAGAAAAAATCAGAGTTAACGTTTCGGGTCTGGTGACCCTTCCTCAGAGTTTTTCTAGCCTCTCCTTATAGCTCATACTCTCTAATTCAGGCAGCATCCTGGTAAACCTCTTCTGCACCCTCTCCAAAGCCTCCACATCCTTTCTGTAATGTGGTAACCAGAACTGAAAGCAATACTCTAAGTGTGGCCTACTCAAAGTCATATAAAGCTGCAACATCACATCTCAACTCTTGCACTCAATTCCCTGACCAATAAAGGCAAGCGTGCCATACGCCTTCTTTACCACCCTATCTACTTGTGTGGCCACTTTCAGGGATCTATGGACTTGAATCCCAAGATCCCTCTGTTCAGGGTCCTGTCATTAACTGTTTACTTTTCCTTAAACATTTGAACTCCCAAAGTACAGCACCTCACATTTACCCAGATTAAACTCCATGTCATTTCTCCGCCCACGTCTGCAACAGATCTATATCCTGCTGTATCCTTTGACAACCTTCTACACAATACACAACTCCACCGATCTTTGTGTCCCCTGCAAACTTACTAACCCATCCATCCACATTTTCATCCAAGTCATTTCTTTATATCATTAACAGCACAGGTTCAAGTACTGATCCCTGCAGAACACCACTAGTCATGGACCTCAGCCCTTCCACCAGTACCCTCTGCCTTCTATGGGCAAGCCAATTCTGAAACCAAGTGGCCAAGTCACCATGGATCCCATTCATCTTAAGCTTCTGGATGAACCTATCAAGAGGGACCGCGTCGAAAGTCCCACTGAAATCTATTTAGACAACATCTACTGCTCTACCCCAATCGATCATCTTTGTCACCTCCTCGAAAAATTCAATCAAGTAAGTAAGGCATGTCGTGCCCTGCACAAAGACATGCTGACTGCCCCTAATTAGGCTATGCTTTTCCAAATGCGCGTACATCCTATCCCTAAGAATTCTCTCCAATAGCTTCCCAACCACTGATGTGAGACTCACCAGTTTCCTGGATTATGCCTATTTCCCTTCTTGACCAGAGGATAACATTAGCTACTCGCCAGTCCTCCGGGACCTCTCCAATGGCTAGTGGAGATACAAAGATCTTGGTCAAGGCCCCAGCAAGGCTCCAGCAATCTCCTCTTTCACCTCTCTCAATACCCTGGGGTAGACACCATTTTATTCTTCTTCAAGTGACCCCCACACCACTTCTTTTATCCTTGTTCCAGGATCATCCAGTCTGACTCCCAGGGATGGCTGGAATAAAAATATCCCAGATCACGTTTGCAGAGCCAGGAAATGTCTGCACTTTTGATGCAGGATGAACAATCAAAGCCAAGATCAGACAATTTTTTGAACTACAAAGGAGTTAAGAGTTATTGGGGCAGGCAGGCGTATACATGTACTTATGGCTATGGCAGAGATGGTTCATGGGGCCAAATGGCCAAGTCCTACTCCTTTTCTTTTCATTTTTATGCTCTTAAGAGAACAATTTCAACTCTTCCACTTTCTCCACATAAGACGTTCCACACACCAGCCACCGTTCTGAGAAATCTCTTCATCATTCACTTCAATACCTTAACAAGACCTAACAGCTTATGCTGTTGTACTCTTTGTACCTATCACTAAAGTCATGGGGGTCCGATCTGCTTTTTCAAAGGCTTTGTCAATTTGTGCTGCCAACTTGAAAACTTTGTGCATATGCATCCCTAAGTGTCCTTGCTTTTGGACCCTCTTTAAAATAGTACAATTTAATTCTGATTATGGAATTGTTACGGAAGACCATTCAATCCCTTGTCTTTATGCTTTTTATTGCTTTCCCTCAGCTATAATTAAAAGTGTTTGTGTTTTATATAGTTGGTTTATTGAAAAATTATGACGTCAATTCAAATCAAAGATGTAATCATAATTCATTAAATAATTATAAATAGTATAAAATAATAAAACTTAATATAACACAATAATGAACATTTCAGACTACAAATAATTACATTAGGTTGCAAGAAGTTGGTTTCTTTAACTCACAGAATAAGAATGAAAGGTCCACTACACTCTGAAATTTGTATTACCTCCAATGGATCATGTATTGTCAGAAACAAAAACAGAAGTTGCTGGAAAAGCTCAACAGTTCTGGCAGCATTTGTGAACAAGGTTTTCACAGATGCTGGCGGACCTGCTGAATTTTTCCAGCAACTTCCGTTTTTTGTTTCTGATTTACAGCATCTGTGGTTCTTTCAGTTTTTATCATGTATTGTCAGGTTTGTTTCATTAAATTCTCATATACCATTTATGAGTTTTATAAAGTAGCAGATTGGGCTGTCTCATAGCCTATGTTGTATATGATAGCAACTGAAAGGGTTAACTGACACCACAAGAGTAGACATCCATCAGGGGATCCAGGAGTGTTCCTGGGAGGAGATATGCAGTTTTTCAGTGCTACTTCTACCGTGCTCAACAGTTATGTGTACATACCCTTACGTCCAGCCTGAGGTTTCAAAACAGACTGTCATGAGCTCAGATCTAACATAATTAGCTATGAAGTCATACATAAACATATACTTTTCAACCACACCTGAGCACTACTTCTGACAAAGATTTGGTGTGGTCATCCCTTCCCCATTTGGGATCAGTAACAAACTAATATCAATAAGAAGGATTGAGTCATAGAGTTTTTACAGTACAGAATAGGACCCTTCAATCCATCATGCTCATACAGGTCATCAAACACCCATCTGTTCTAATCCCATTTTTCAGCAATGAATTTACCCAAAGCATCTCAAATGGTACCTGTGAGCATAACCACAACTTATTACACCAGCCTATTTACTGAAAGCTTCTTGTATATAATTAACAATATCTTGCCATTCGGCAGGCAACCACTGTTGTCCCAAAGAGGAATGCCAATCTACCAGGGATGATTCTGCAGTTTTCGGTAGTAAATCTGCTGGCTCAGATATAAATTCTCATGAAGAGTCAGTGGCTCACCATTAACTTTCTTTCCAAAGATGCTGCCAGACCTGCTGAATTTCTCCAGCAATTTGTGTTTGCTTCAGAGAGAAAAACTCACTGTGAGTGCACTAAAAAGCCCTTTTACATATTTGCTAGCTCAATCTGTTATTCGAGGGCAGGTGGGTCTACTGGCTCAGAGGTTGAGACACTACCACTGGGGCACAAGAAACAGGGATGCCGCGCAACCCGATGACGTGACATCTGCACCCACGTGACGCCAAAGTTGACAACGCAGGTTCCGACCCTTCACCAGCAAACGTCGTTTCTGGGGTAGTGCGCATGCGTGATCAACTTGCGCAGGCTTTTGGGGGCAAGGGTGGGTGGAATCGTGACGCACAAGTTGCCGGACGTGAGCTCTACGTGACGTCGTCAGTGCCCTGCCCACATCAGCGCGCATGGTAAGCTCATCGCAGTTGCCGGCGTCAGCAAACAACGCCGGCCATATTGCCCCGCCCCCTCCCAGGCCCGAGCCGGGCGCCTGCGCACAACTGCGCGGGGCGCGAGGGGCGGCCGTTTGGCGCAAAGGGGCGGGGCGAGAGTACGTATGCGCCGGAGCGAGGGCCCAGGGGAGCCGCTTTGGAGACAACCTTCCGCCTCCTATTACCGCCCCCCTCCCCTCGACACCGGCTTCAACACATCTCGGCCTAACATCAATTCCGGTGTAACCACTCGCCGATACTACGCCGACCCTGATTCAGCTCTAGCCCCTAACATCAACCCCGACACCATTTCCCCCCCACCCCACAAAGCTCGTCTACCGCTCAGACCCTGGGAGAGAACCGGAGAGCAGGTTAGTCTGTCCGGGAGCAGATCCGTTTGTGTTCGAGCCGCTGATGAGGAAGGGAAGGCAATCGCGTTCGGTTGGGGCTCAGCCGTCCCGCATCCCGGGGTGTGTGTGAAGCCCGAGCGGTCGGGGCTGGGCCCCGGGGTGTGTGTGTGTGTGTGTGTGTGTGTGTAACTGTTGGTTAACGGTAGGGGAGACAGCCGAGTGCAGCATCTCCAGGT